ATTTTAAACTTGTTAAGGCTAATTTAGGATTTATAATATAAGATGATGAGAAACAGAACCACCAATGTTTAATGCAAAGAGGCCATTAAAAAGAACTCTACATAGTGATTGCCCTACATAGTGATCAGATTGCCCTTCCATGTTACACTCAAACTAAACCTTATGGCTTAAACATTGTATGAATAAAGCAACACAATTTTCATATAAATTCACTGGTGTGATTCCTCTTGTGTCCTTCTTTGAAAAGTGGAATGACTTTAACTGGGAGAGGGGACAGGACAATTGACTGCACATTTGGCAGAATATTAACTTTACTGCTGGCATGGGACTATTTTTTAAAACTACATGGATTTGAAATTCTTAATGAAATGTAGATCAAGAAGACACCTTCCTTGGCTACAATCCAAAAGAAATTAAGCACTTTTAAATCCAATATGGTTTAGATAACTTAAGTCTACAATCTGTGTTCACTTACCTGTGAATCCCATGGAAGTCACTGAAGTTTACTTTTTAACAGATAAATGTAAGATTGAGGCATTCCTATTTAAATATATAAAGGACATGTATAGAGAATCCACAAACTACATACTTTCCTCCAACTATGTATTACTCATCTGTGTCAAGTTTTCTTTGCAGGACAAATGGTCTGTGTTCCAACACACCTTGAATATTCCATCTTCTGTAAAATGTATGTTGACAATGCATAAGAGCTATTAATGAACCTTTACTACTACTACTACTATACTACTACTACTACTACTACTACTACTACTACTACTACTACTAATAATAATAATAATAATAATAATAATAATAATAATAATAATAATATCATCACAGTGTGAGGCATAGGAAAAGTAATCTGGGAGTTTATACTTGGCCCTCACACATAATCTTCTGTTCCCTCCTATTAATTTTCTACAGCTTTTATTGCTACAAAGCTGTAGACTAAGAAAACTAGCTAAAGGTAGATGGCTAATATTTATTAATACTGCAAAAAGTGCATATTTTTATAAATTTACTGCAGGGGTGTCAAACTTGATTTCATTGAGGACCACATAAGGTTATGTTTGACCTCATGTGTGTGTGTGTGTGTGTGTGTGTGTGTTTGTGTGTGTGGCCAAAGTGTGTGGGGCCAGCTCAACATCACTCATGTTGGGGCACTTGTGGTGGCCAGAGCACTTTGCCAGTGAAAACGGGCTCCCAAGTTTTGTTTTTGGCTATGACGGCCTCCTGTGACAGTGGAAATGCAGAGACACTGCACGCCAGTTCTTCCTTGTTTCCAGAATGGCTCTGAGGGCTGACCTAAGCACCCCATGGGTCGGATCTCTCTCCCGGGCCTTGAATTTGACACGTCTGCTTTACTGATATGCAGATACAGAATACAGAATAGCAGAGTTGTAAGGGACCTTGGAAGTCTTCTAGTCCTTTGCTCAGGGAGGAAACCTACACTGTTTCACATATATTGGTTGTCCAAACTCTTCTTGAAAACTTTGAGTGTTGGAGTACCCACAACTTCTGGAAACAAGTTGTTCCACTGATTAATTGTTCTAACTGTCAGGAAATTTCTCCTTATTTCTAGGTTGCTTCTCTCCTTGATTAGTTCCCATTCATTGCTTCTTGTCCTGCCTTCAGATGCTTTGGAGAATATGTTGCCCCCTTGTTGCAGCCCATTAGATATTGGAACACTGCTATCATGTCACCCCTAGTCTTTTTTTCCCGTTAAACTAGACGTATCTAGTTCCTGCAATCATTCTTTACATGTTTTAGCCTCCAGTCCCCTAAACGTCTTTGATGCTCTTCTCTGTACTCTTTCTAGACTCTTTTTTTTTTTTTACATTGTGGCAATCAAAAAGATGATACATTCTGAACTGATGATTTATTGATTGGCCCAGTAATCAGATATGTTGTTTTTTAATCAGAATTACACTCCAAGTTAAACTAAATTCAAACTGAGGAACACAATTTTGAAATGGCATGGGTTATGAATTATAGACACAAGTCTTAGAAGTCCTCATCCACTTATTCTTGCAGTTTGGGGATACACAATAATCATTCTTTATCTATTCTATATCATCAGGAATAGTTATGTATGCCTAATATGGACCATAGATTAAATTGGTGCAGCTAATAACTGGGGATGTGCTCTTCTGGCCCAACACATCACAGATGAGGAAGAGGAGAAGATAGTTCATGTACAAGGAGATTATTCCATTTTCCTTTTTCAGTCAAATGCTGAAAACAATATTATTTATTGTTAATGGAAAGAAAGTTTATTTTAGAACTGCAGTATTCATAGTTGACTTTATGGGGACAAATGACTGAAAATTAAGCCAGAATACACATGTCGGGAAAGAAACAAAATCAGAAATTCAGATTCCAAGTATTTGCAATGAATTGGGGGAGGCTAGATTTAATGGCACTGTATGTTGCTGGTGTGGGTCATCCTTTTACTGAACATGAGGAATCTGACTAAAGTAATATCTGACATAATTATGTCAAGGTTAGATTAGGGGAAAACATTCTATATGGATATAACTTTGAAGAGTCTTTGGAAGCTGCAATTAGTCCAAAATGTAGGTAATAACATGTTACTTTTCAAATGCCATACCTAACTCAGAATGTTTCTTCTGATTATCAGTTTGTTTCCAGGACAATTAAAAATATTAGTACTGAACTTTGGGGATTTAGGAAACTTCAAATGTGTCTCCTTTCATAATGATCTCCTCTGTGTCCCACTTTATTTGAAGATAACTTTGTTGGTGAAAGCAACAGATCCCTGTAAATGAATAAAAGCAATCCCCAAAGTTCATTGAAATTTTAGCTGAATGTTGTTTTGGTCTTCATAAGTATCCAGTAGTTCAGCCTGCAGTTTTACTTCATTCAGAAATATATGCGCATATCATAGCTTTTATATGTGTTTAACTTTAACATGTTGTTTAAAGTTCAACTTTCCCTGGGTAGATTTCATTTATAAATTTTTCTTGAATGATTTTAGAATCATTAAAAACTAACATTCAGAATAGCAAAACATCTGATAACATTTCAAGCATTTTGGAAATGAAAAAGTGATTGTCTTGAATAAGAATGGCTACTGCTTGTATTCATTTATTTCTTTTGGGGTGTGTGTATGTGTGTGTGTATGTGTGTGTGAGAGAGAGAGAGACAGACAGACAGACAGACACAGATAGAAAGAGAGAGATCTTTGAAATAATAAGGTAATAAAATAAATTCAATGACTTCTTGCAACTCTTGAAAATTCTGCTGTGGAAGAGGAAATTTCAAATTTCATGGGGAGAGATTTTCCTTAATCCAGTTCTTCAAGAGCTCAATGTCTCTCTTTTCATAACAAATTCCCATCCAAACCACTGCCAAACTTTGGTGACTTAGCTGGCAGAGGATCCAAGTACAATCAAGGGCTAATAAGCAGAGCATATTGTGAGTCAAGATCTGCTCAAGAACTGTTAACAAAAAGATGCTTTGCAAAAGCCTTAAGTGATTTGGGCTCTTAGCTTATGTTTGTTTCCTGAATGTTGGAATATAGATAAATATAGATTTGTTAACTGTTTGTTTGGCTCACACAATTACTGTCTTATTGGGATCTTTATGCTTAACATTTTGCATCAATAGATTTTTACCAGGTGCAGTCTTATCTAAAATAGGGCATTCTTGAGATATTTCTGGATTAGGAAAAATAAATATTTACATAATGTTTATTTTTTTTTAAAAAAAGATGGTATTTCAAATAGCTGTTCAAGGACAATATCTTTATAAACAATTTAATGTCTGAATAGATAGTGTGTGCACAATGTCTATCTATTTAATGAAACAAAAACTATGTAAGAATGCCACAATAATTCGGGGTGACAACTAAACTAGTTAAATATTAAATTACCTTATGGAGAAATAACTGTGTTATACCACTACATTATTACTTGATAATCCCATGTTCAAATATAATCATATAGAAAATAGAATGAAACCATGTATCACTTCTTATCATCTTCAGATTGGTGAATAGAATGGTAATAGTTCAAAAAAGGGGTGCCCAGAATGAGATGGATTTTTGAGAATGTTTTGAACTTTCTTAAGGCAGTGGGAACTATAAAAGTCTTCCAAAGAGGGGAGAGGGCAACCAATGATATTCTGGGCAATGACATTAACATTCTGGAGTGCTGTCCTATCTGCCACTGTGCAATTGACAAACCATACAGAGATGCAGTAAGCTAAGATACTCTCTATGGTGCAACAAAGGTCACCAGCAGTTTTTCATTCAGTTGTTGTTTTCTGAGAAGTCTCAGGTTGTATAATCTCTGCTGGGCCCTTTTGACCAGTGATGCAATATGAGCACCCCAGGTCAGGTCCTCTTTTATGATAACACCCAGAAACTTAAAACTGGCCACTTGCTCCACTCTGTCTCCATTGATAAGCAAGAGCTGGATGTCTGATCTGTTCCTTCTATAGTCCACTATAATCTCCCTGGTCTTATTGGTGTTGAAGACCAAGTTGTTGTCTCCAAACATGAAAGCAACCATCTCATCTCGGAAGGCAGACTCATCTCCCCATGAGATGAGTCCCACCACTGTTGTATCATCTGCAAATTTAGTAATAGTATAACTATTGTGAGTGGGAATGCAGTCATGCACATAAAGAGTACAGAGTAAGGGACTCAAAACACAACCCTGTGGTATACCAGTGTTAAGAATAAGGGCTGAAGAGGTATGATAATCTAATTTGAACCTATGTGAGCGGCCAGACAGGAAATCCATAATCCAAAGGCAGATTGAATTAGAAAGTCCAAGGTCCAGAAGTTTACTAGTCTATGTGGAAGAATTGTGTTAAATGCAGAACTAAAATCTATAAAAAGCATCCTCACATAGCCCCCCTGCTATTCTAGATGAGTCAAAGCAGTGTGAAGAGTGATGGCTATAGTGTCCTCTGTATGCAAACTAGTGTTTATCAAATGTATGTGGAAGACCAGAAATTATGTGCCGGCAGACCAATTTCTCAAAGCACTTCATGATGATAGGAGTGAGTGCCACTGGTCTGTAATCATTGAGGTTATTGATAGGGAACTTCTTTGGCAGCGGAACGATGGTGGAAGCCTTCAAACAAGATGAAATAGTGAACTGGGATAAAGACCGTCTGAAGATCCTGGTTAAGACTGCAGCCAACTGATCAGCACAGTCTTTAAGCACTCAGACAGAGATACTGTCAGGATCATCAGCCTTTCTAGAGTACACCACCCTCAGAATGCTCCTCACCTCCTGTTCCTCCACAATGAAAGAGGTGGGGGCTACAATTGACTGGTGACTGTATTTTAGCTGTCTCTGATATTTCCACTTCAAAGCTAGCCAATGAAGCATTCTCCTTAGCAGGGAAGACATTGGTCAGTTGATGGTTGGCAATTTGTTGAATTCCCTCACCACACCTGCCTCATGTTATTGCTATAAAAATTATCCTCAATCTTCCTCTTATAATCAGTCTTGGCTTCTGAATACCTTTCTTCAGATTAGCTCTGGCAACATATCTTGCCCCATCACCGGATCTAAAGGCCTTGGTCCTGTAACGCAAGAAGCACTAGACTTCCTTGGTTATCCAGGGTTTCTGACTGGGACAGATCCTGATACGTTTATCCACAGTGACAGTATCTATGCAGTGTTTGATATAGCACAGAACAGTTGCAGTGTGCTGTTCTAGGTCAGGGTGGTAAAAGATGTCCCACTTTGTGTTCTCAAAACAATACTAAAGTTGTTGGGAAGCAGCTTCTGGCGAATATTTCACTGTCTTTATTATAGGCAGAGCCTAAGAGGGATGTATGCTGGTGCTAAAAGGAGTGACATATGGTCTGATTGTCCCAAATGTGGTACTTGTATAACCTTATAGCCATGTTTGATGTTGGTATATACTTTGTCCAAAATGTTTGTTCCTCTAGTAGCACACTTAACATGCTGATAGAATTTAGGGAGCACTGTTTTTAAACTAGCTTGATGAAAGTCCTCTGCTATGATATACACAGCACCAGGATACTTATTATGTTGATTACTAACAATGTTATACAAAAATTCCAAAGCTATGGTAGTATTGGCATCAGGTGGGATATAGACTGCAGTAATCAAAACCACACTAATTTCCTGTGGAAGATATATGGGTCTACATTTAAGAGTCATATACTCTAAATCCACGAAGCAGTGGCTGCCTACAGTCTTTGTATTGATACACCAGCTTTCGTTCACATAAAGGCTTAAACTTTCCCCTTTGCTCTTGCCAGAATCTGTACTCCTGTTGTGCCGGTGAGCTATGTAGCCTTCCAGCTCAACAGCTGCATCTGGAATGAGTGAATGAAGTCAAGTTTCTGTGATTAGCAAAACACAGCAATTCTTGATGAATTTAGTCTTTGCAATCTGTAGCCTTAATTCATCCATTTTGTTAGTCAGAGATCTTGCATTGGTAAGAAATATACTTGGAATTGAAGGCTTGTGTGGAAACTTACTTAGCCTAAAGAGAACCCCAGCATGGCATCCTCTCTTCCTCTTCCTGTTCCTCTTTCTCCACCTCTTCCTCCTTCCTGCAGTGATTCATGGTTCCCCCAGGGTCCTCCTTTGGTATGTTATGAGAATGTATACAACCATCCATAATAGCCTTTTCACAAATCCAATTTATAACGAGTCTTGCCAACTATAGATGCCCCTTGCCCCACAGGATTCAATCAAGGAAAGAATCCAAAAGGAAAAAATAATCACACACACCATACACTATATGGGTAATGGATGGAAACTGATCAAGGAGAGATTCAACCTAGAAATGAGAATTTTTCTGACAGTGAGAACAATCAACCGATGCAACAGCTTGTCTTCGGAAGTTTTGAGTGCTTCATCGCTGAAGTTTTCAGGAAGAATTGGGTATCCATCTGTCAGAAATGGTAGAGGGTCTCCTGCTGAGCAGGAGATTGGACTAGATGATCTACAAGGTCCCTTCCAACCCAAGGTCCCTTCCAATTCTTTTTATTCTTTTTTATTGATAGATAGATATGATAGATAGGCAGGCAGGCAGGCAGGCAGGCAAACAAGGTAAAGATAAAGGTAAAAAAATTCCCCTCTCCAATTGTATCCAACTCTAGGGATGGTGCTCATCACTGTTTCTTAACCAAGGGAACCAATCTTATCCTAAGATCCTTCCATGACCATGTGGCCAACTTGACTATATACCAGTGTTCACAGAATGCTGTTACTACGGTAGATAATTCAAGACTGTGTCCAAGAAATCTCTACAAATGTGTCCATGAAGTAATCGCCAGTCTTTACTTTTTACTTTAAGGAATACTATAGGAAAATTGGCCATTACAGCTTAGCTTTTGGAGGAAGTATGAGTGATTCAGATGTTTTTGATCATCCTCATTTTTTTTTTAATATTAGTACTCATTCCTAAAAGAGTTAGCAGGCAATTAATGTCAACATTTATGTTGAAAATTAATGTGTTTCCACGGGTTTTATTTGTATGATTCCTTGCCTTATTTCAGGGCTGAGCATATCCATTTGCTTTAAAGCAGTATTTGTCTGTTTATTGCTTCTGTGTGTCAAGGGAATGGCATATCTATTGTTCAATTCCTTGATTTGTTAGTCAAGTACAACAATCAGTAAGTGAATTGGTAGCCTTGACTCTATCTATTAGCTGGTACAGAAATAATTTGATCTCAGCAGTATTCATATAATAAAATATTCCATTTTGTTTATATTCTTAAATGTTCAGAGAGAGAGAGATTGTTTCTACTGTAGCATATTCTAAACTTTTATTGCAATTCATATTACTGCTACCTCAAGGCCAAAGGAGCCAAACAGGCCACATTATTATTTTCCTCTATTTTATTATACATTTCTAATAAAAAAACATTTTAATAAATCCCAAAGAGTGCAACAGTTAAAATAATTTACATCTTAAATATCTTTAAGTAACAATGAAGTGATAAATTTCAATACTCTTTAAAACCCACAGATTTAAAAACTTAAAATGTATTGCAGGAAACTTAAAATGGTTAAAAAGAAAAGCAGGAATCATTTGAGTGTTGGTCTTTATGATAAAGGCAATTGGGATGAAATTATTGAGAGTACTTGATGAGATATATTATCCAGATCTTTTCAGTCAGGTTTTAGGCAATGTAACTGCACACTGTAGTCACACTTGTTCATTTCCTTTCACAGAGCAAGGAGGTGGGTGATGCAACATTCTGGCTTTCAAAGTTTGATCAGAGTTTTTATATGATATTCTCCTGGACGAGCTAGGGACAAGAATGGTAGGACAGTTGTCAGGTAGTGCTCCACTCAAAATCCAAGAAAGACACTCAGACTCCATTAATATAGAGAAAAGAACTTTTACTGGAATTCAAGTGGTAGCATCAAAATAATTCTAGATCTGAGGAATTACGCACGAAAAACACACATACAAAGTGATGGCAACGTTTCCACCCACAATAGTTCAAACTGTCCATCCAACTGAAGATGTGTATAATGTCATGTGGGGAATCTTCAGGTTGTGATGCAGACATCAGGCCATTGATCTTGGCCAATTTTGATAAAGACTCACAGTTGCGTAGTAAGCAAGCAAATAAACACGAACAAAAAAGTTTTTTCCCCAAGTTATGCAGTTCATTCTCCAAAACCTCCAGCACATTTCCCATACCCACAAAGCCCAATTATTTCTCCTCCCCCATTACTATGGCATCAGAAAGATGCAAGAGAAAGGAAAGGACTTTTGAAGGCTGGCAACATTGTTGCAGTAATTCTCCACAGCTGATTCAGTCAATATTGTAATGTCTCCCACCTTGCCAGTTTTAAAAATGTGGTAATTTGCCTAGACTTGCAGCTAAGTTTTTTAAATAAACACACCCAGTTCCCTTATAATATTTCACTTTGTTGCCCATCTATGGATGTTTTTTTTTCTTTTAAGTCTTATTGTAGATGCCCAGAACAGTGCATAGTATTTAAACTGGAGTTTGATTAAAAGAAATAAAATGAAACAATTAATTCTTGGGCTTTTGAAAATAAATGTGGATTGAAGTAACCCAAAATCACATTTGCCTTTTTGCAGCCACTCACACTAGTGATGTACATTATGTTTTCAATCTACTATGCTAAGATATTTTCCACTAATACCATTACACTAAATACCTCCCAACCTATATTGTGCATTTGATTTTTATTTCCTATTTGAAGATGGTTGACATTTTCTTTTTTTTAACTCCAACGTTTATTGTTTTATCCAAGTATAAAATATAAAGGAAGGAAGGAAAAAGAAAGGGAAAAAGAAAATATGGGGTATAAGGGAAAAAGAAAAAAAGTGTTTACTTCAAACTCTTTTTAGCACAGTAGAAGATAACATTATAGCCTCAGCTTTTTACTTTTTACACATTAGTATATACTAGCCATTTCTATAAATACAAGTTTATCTAATTGGCAAAACCAAAGTCAATATTTCATTTTTTATCACAAGCACAAAATCCAGAAGTGATTTCCAAATAGAAAACATAATTAAATATATTCTTCTCTTTGAATAAAGCAATCAGTATAACCATTTATGCTTTTTCTTCTTTGCTGTGGAAACAATACATATTTCTATTCTATAATACATATTTTACTTAATAATACTTATAAACTATCACCAGTTACCAGTGAATAAAATTCACTGTATTCTTTCAGATTGTTTAACCTTAAAGGAAAACAAGTATTTTTTTCATCTTTTAGAACACTAAACTTTTCTTTAAAAACATTTATAAGATCAAAAAATTCTAATACATCTTTTAACTTCCTCTTTTAAAGTTCACTTTCAGTTAGATGAATAACATTTCAACTAACTCCAATCAACTCATTAAATTTAAATCATTCCAAGTTACACTTTCTTGTTGTATACATCCTTTTTAAAACTCTAAATTTTTCTTTAAGCTAATACATCCTTTTCTTTAAATATCTCTTAACATAGATACTTTCAAATACACTTTATACAAATACATTTTATGAGCATTAAGAATTATTTAAGCATTATACATAAAGGAATCTTAATGCCAATTGACTCATTAAACTTAAGTCACTCCTTCCAGTTTATCTTCATGAAATAGAATCTTTTTCTTCTTTGGAATGTTTATCAAATAGTTATAAACTTATCTTTTTCTTGGGAATTTCTCAACCTTGTTAGTGTCCAAGAATTGCAAAAAAAAAAAATAATCGGAAACTTTCAAAATAACAGTTGTTTAATAAGGAAGTTCCAATTCAGGTTGTCAAAAGCCTTCTGGACATCTAAAAATACCGATGCCATTGTCTTGGTTGAGTGTACTTCATAATATTCTACTATATCCATAATGGTTCTTGTATTTGTTTTTATTTGCCTATGGGGGAGGAAGCCATTCTGATCAGTGTGGATAATTCTACTTAATACTCATATTGTAGCCATTATTTTGTAATCTACATTTAAAAGTGATATTGGTCTATAATTTTGAATTTTTTTATGGGTCTGATTGTTCTTTATAAATAAGGGTAATATATGCTTCCAACCATGATTTAGGCATGTTAGCATTCTCCAGGGCTTCATTGTACAAGTCCACCAATATCTCCTCTATTGTTTCTTGGAATTCCTTATAGAATTCCGAAGGAATTCCATCTGGGCCATTTGCTTTTTGTGTTCCAATTGCCTTCCTAATTTCTTCTATAGATATTTTATTATTCAAATTTTGTTTCTCTTCATCAGTAATTTTGGGCAAGTTCTTTTCATTCAAATATTGATCAATAGATCCTTCTGGTATTTCTTCCTGTTTATACAATTTCATAAAAAACTCTTTAGCAATTTCTTTCTTTTCTTGGGTCTGCATGCATAATTTCCCTTCCTGATCTTGGAGAGCTACGATCGTTGTCTTTTCTTGTTCTTTTTTAATTTTATGGGCTAACCACCTCCCTGGCTTATTTGTGTTTTCAAAATATTTTTTTTTTCTAATTTAATTTTTCAGGCCAAATCTTCCTGTGCATTTAAATTTATTTTATGTTTTACCAGATCAATTTCTTTCTTAATGTTTGAATTGTTTGAGTCCTTTTGTCTACTTATTTCCAAATCTTTCAGTTTCTCCCTCCATATGTTTTGTTGCTGTCTTTTTTCTTTATTCTTTTTAATACTATAAGCAATAGTTAGACCTCTCACATAGGCTTTGGCCGTATCCCAAAGATTCTGCAGAGAGGTATGTTCTCTTTTGTTTATTTCAAAAAATACATTCAATTCGTTCTTTATCATTTCAATATATTCTTTATCTCTTAATATGGTGTTGTTAAATGTCCATCTTCCAATTTTTCTCTTTCCTTTCCATTTAATTTGAATGGGATTATGGTCAGCTCATAGATTTGGTAAAATCTTGATCCTTTCAATATTTTCCATTAACCCAGGGTCCACCCATATCTGATCTATTCTGGACCAAGAGCGGTGGGGGTTCAAAAAAAAGTGTATTGTTTTTTATTTGGATTTAATTCTCTCCACACATCTTTCAAGTTAAGTTCTCTTACCATATTATTAAAAGATGGAGTATTCTCTTTTCCTTTTTTTTTGGGGGGGGGGGGGGGGAGGGGGAGTTCTTTAATCTTTATCTTTGTCTGAGTCTGCATTATAGTCTCCTACAATGCATACATTAGCAAACTCAAATTATATTATTTTATGGTGAAGCCTATTCTAAAAGTCTTTTTGGTTTGTATTCGGTGCATATATTGTGACTAATAACATCTTTTTCTGATTTACATTTATTTTTATAAAGAGCACTCTCCCTTCTTGATCTTTGTATATTTGTTTATGTTGCAACCAATCCTTTACATATACTACAATACCCCCCCCTTTTTTTTTTTGCAAGTGCCGAGTACATTTTACCCAAATTTATATTCTTTAAGAGGTCTGTTTGATTGTCTGAAATATGCGCTTCTTGGATACAAGTTATGTCAGCATTTTGTTTTTTAAGTTTCTCAAATATTTGTTTTCTTTTTGATGATAGGTTTAAACCATTGATATTGACTGAAAATGAAATGATTTCTCTATCAGTGTCACTGACTGTGTGAGGCATTTCTCATTTCATTTCTTGTTCTAGGCTCTTTTTTTGTTAGTCTGTTGCCTTCCCCTTCTTCTCTAAGATTTTGGGGTTCAGAGTGTGAATCAGATTCTTTTTCTCCAGAGAGTTGTTCCTCTTGGCTTCTTGTATTTAGGTTGTCTCTACTTTCTTGTTCTTCCTCGGGTCCTAGGTGTCGTTCATGAAATTCCTGTGCTTTTACAATTGTATCAATTTTGTATTTTTTGTCCTGCCACAAAACTAAAAGCCCCTCTGGGGTGAGCCACCTAAACGGAATATCATTTCTAACAAGCTGAGTTGATAAAAATTGGTAGCCCCTTCTCTGTTTTCTGACTCTCTTAGGTATTTGTTTCAGTGTAACCACTTCATGATCTTTGTATAAAAGTGGTTCATCTCTGGTCTTACTATAGAGCAGGTCTCATGTTATCTTCCTCACAAATTGAATATGAACCTCTTGGGGTAGTCTATGTCTCCTCACATAGTGTGTATATACTCTGTAGACCTCGTCTACATCATTTTCAATTTCCAGTTTGGGTTTCTGTAAAGCCGCTGCTATCAGATTCATCATAATTGCATGTAAATCTTCCTTTTTGTCTTCCACCACATTTTGGAACCTAAGATGAAATGACACCTTCTCTAATTCCATGTGTACCATTGAATCCCAGAGTTCGCAGTAAAGCACTTTCCAATTTTGTTCTGAATCCTCTAATTTCTTCTCTACCATCTCCATTCTTGCCTCTACTAAATTTAATTTCTGTTAATTTTTTATCACTTTTTCCTGCATCTTTCCAATCTTATTATTCAAATTTTGTATTTCATTTTTCACTTGTCCTATTTCAGTTCTCATCTCTGTTTTCACATCTTCATAGTACCTCACTATCAATTTGTGGGTTTTTGCCATCATTTCCTGCATCATAGTAAGCATTGCCTGTGCTGTCTGCAGGCTTTGAGCTGAACTAGTTTTTTCTGCCAGTAGCAGTGCATCTATAGATCTCTGCCCCATGGGTGAAGACATCGTTGTTGTAGTTTTCTTTCCTGATTTTACATTTGTAATTGATGTTGTCACCATTTTAACTATCTGTAGCAGCTCTTTCCAATCTACCATCAACTATCCCTAGTAGACCACTATTTTCCTCTCCTTTTCAGTTCAATAGTAATATTAATACATATATTATTATATTATTAATTACCAAAATTCTATTATGGAAAATCACAATCAACTCTTACTTCTATTTTTTTCTTATTGAACTTATTCAACTATTACAATACTTAAGAGAATTCAATATTAATCAAATGCAGATATATTTACTCACAAATCAACAGTCTTATATACTTAATTAATTAATTTAAAGCAGCCAATTCATTAAAGTAATTAAATTCTTATCTATATATAAATATCAATTAATCTATTTCTTTAGAGTTCTTAGTTATATGCTTACCTCAGAATAAAAATACCTCAATTTCTGACTTTATGATTATTATTTGAAGGTCTGAGTTCACATATTTATACAATTGTCCAGTTATTCAAAAATTATTAACCAGTATTCTTAACTCAATATTCTAACACATATATATCTATTAAGATTATGTTTTACCAATATTATTTAGTTACATCTATGATTGACCAGTTGAATGATGTCAATGGACCTCCTCCTCCTCCTCCTCCTCCTTCTTCTTTTGATAAATACCTTATTACAGTTCTTAGTTCAAGTTCAAAATGTCCTCTTTAAATTTGCATGGTCACTTCCACCATTTCATTTCTCCTTTCTATTTTGGCTTCTTCTTCTTCTTGCTCCTTTATTCTTTTTCTCCACACAGTCCTAGTTCCACTTATAAATCTTAGTTATCTTATTTCTTCCTTCTTTCTTTATCACAGCTATCAGACAAATATTCTAATTATAAGGTTTCTTTCTTCAATCCTTTCTTTAAATCTTTTGAAGTGTCAATTGTTCTCTTTTCAAGTTTTTACTCTCAGCTGTTCTTCCGGTCTCTCTGCCTCACTTGGACATGTCACTGTCACTTTCTCTTTCTTCCCACAATTCTCAAACATCAATCGCCAAAAAATATAGTTATAAAACCCCCTTTTCAACTCCCAAAGTAAAAGTAAACGGTGTTGTCTCACCCTTCAGCTCCTCCGTTTTCAGCGCTCCATTAATCAGCACAAATTACTGCCATTTCTATAGTTAGTACTCCTTCTGATATTTCTGCCACTTCGCTGCACTGTTCAGTTTGGAGTTTCAATTTTCAATTTTCCTTTGTATTTTTGTAATCAGTATTCTGGAAATCTTCTTTAAGTTCACCTTTCCACTACTCAATTTGCTGTTTTCCACTCTTTGCTTCCTTCCTTCTTCTTTAAGCTGCTGGGCTGCCATGTCTATGGTTCCAATCTGTACGATCTCCCTCTTCTGCTTCTTGTTTTTGGGGGATTCTCTTGTAATCTCCCCGAGATCTTACCTGGAGAACTTTGTTATGTGAAGTATTCTGGCCCAGGCCTTAATAGCCCACCCATTAACAAAGGTAAGCTTCTACTTCTGAGGTGAGTTTCTGCTTCTGAGTTTCTACTCTTTTTAGATGAAATATTCTGCCTTTTTAATATTTCCTAGGATATTTCAATTTTTCTAGGAGAGGTGTGGGTGCTAGCTTCCTACAATCATATTACAATCATGAAGGGACTCCAAGCTAACCTAACCAATGTACGAGGCCCAGGTAAGATTCCCTTGCCAGCAAACAGATTTGTGCCTTCCCCAATTTAACTGAGAATGATCAGTGTGTGTGTAAACCTCAGAGTTTTGTTTTCTTCTCTGTGTCCCTGTTTGTGTGTGTGTGCATACATGTGTGTGTGTGTGTTTGTGAGTGAGTCTTTGTGTGTCCTTGAGATAACTGTTGCAACTCTTAAGTGTCTCTGATCCCTTCAGATATTAATTTTAAATTGTTAAGAGTTAGAGACACTGAGGGGAAAAGAAAATGTCTTTGCCCAGTCTGGTCAGGCCAGCTAGACTAGATGAGAACAGAGTTCAATTTTCTTTCCTCTCTGTGCTTTTAAGAAAAACCCAAGGTTATTAGTGAATGTTCTAAGTTCATTTACAAGAAAAATTTCATCCTTGCATTTACTGTGTGTTTAAATGATTTTACCTGTTCATCTTTTTCCTGAGGTATGCAAATCCAGTTTTTTACTTCCTCATCTGTTGTGTCTCCATTTTGTTGAAATTGATTTATGTGTTTAGTAACTGAAATACTGATGTGTTATTTTTCTTCTTCCTCAAACCATGACTGCAAGCTATCTACACACACCCCATCTCTAATCCTTTTACAATGCCTTTCCTGGTAGAATTACCAGCAAAGTGGGGTGGGGATCCTTGTTCTTTGTTTTTCAGTCCTGCCACATGTGGAAGCAGATGCTGCTCCCTAGAGACATTCCATCTATTGGAGCCAAAGAATTGGGTTTGGATCCAGCCTCCACTGAAAGTCATTATAGCAAACCAAAGTGTGGCAGACCTTCCCAAGCCTGACTGACCACCCATGCCACCAGGCCAAGCCTATGCCACCCAGAGACATGAAGGACTCTGAGATGGACCTGTAAAAGACTAAAAGACTCTTTTCAATCCCCAGAAGACAGTTAGAAAGATTATGGGGGGAAGGTGGACATTCATTGTAATTGAAAATTCATTGTAATGTGAAATTCATTGTAATGTTTTCTTTCTTATATCATTTATATTGTAATCAGTCTAATGTGCTCATGTAAGGATTGTATTTGAGAGTGGCTGCCCCAGCAAGTTCTGAACACCATGTACTTCTGTCTGGTGGGAGGGAAAATTGTCCAGATGTTTGTATTGTCTGTATTGTAAAAGTAGCTGCATACACAAGCACACAAAGAGAGACACTCCATTCAGAATTAGACAGATGTTATCCCTTTCACCTACCTCCACACAAAGCTGCTCCTAGCTTTTTCTTTTTTTGCTGCTCGCAGCTTCCTTTTTTGTGGTTTTTTTTTTTTGTGTTTGCTGCTCTAAGGCACTAAGGCCCAAGCAAAACTCCCTGTTAATTCCATGGGGGAGAGGGCATCCCCCTCAGGCAATTCCTGAAGAGATAGCAGACAAGAGATCTCCAAACACCAGTCCCTGACTGTGACTCACAAATGATGCTGCCCAGTTGCCCAGTAAAGCAGGATATGTTGCACTGGTGGTCTCATGAGTAGAAGTCCCAGAGGTCATTGTGTATAACTTTAAAAATACTAAATAGCCTAGATTGGATACTGGCTAACCTCAATTTGGCCTCACAAACCCTGGAAGCTAAGAACTAGGCAGGTAGTAACCATAACTTTAGAAATGGGCAGCCTGTAATTTAAAGGTTGTGGAGAATGTAGAGGCTTGTGCTTACAACCTGACTGTAAGCTCACAAAAAGTACATTGACAGATCTGAAAATTAATTGGCATGAAAAATTGGATACTGGTTTTTTTTTTTAAAAAATCCAGAACTTCTCCCAGGCTGCTAGATCTTCATGGTGGAAAGGTTTTGGGAGCCATTGAAGGAATCCTTTTCTGTTGCCTCATTCTCTGTGGCCTCTTTTTCAATGCCTTTTGTTTTCCATCAGAAAAATTAAAAGCACCGGGGACTTCCGGTTTGTAAGGCTTCGGCGGCGGCAGGAATCCATGATTGTGCATGGTTCCTGCTGCGCTCGCTGCTGGAGTGCCCCCGATCCAGCTGGATTTGGAGGCTATGGTTACCCCGTAGAGGTAACTGAAGAGAGGGGAGATCAGGATAGGGGTCCAGAGGTATTGCAACCCCCCTCCTCATCTGGCACAACTCCCTTTTCCAAAGGCAGTGGAGCAGCGGTCAGCAATGGCCGCCACAAAGAAGCTTGCAGCCGGACAAGATTGTGCAGGAGGATGTCTGAAAAAGTGAAAGTTTTTGGCTGAACCAGGACAATAAGGAACTTCTAAATACCCTGGAAATTTAATTTCTTCAATGATACATTGTTTCCTAAGAAGATCGTAAAAGCGGCAGAAGAAAGTGGAAAGGGAGAGTTATATTTTCTCACTCTCCTTCCCTACGGAAATAGCAGATGGAAATCTGAAAAATCTACTTTGGCACTGAAGGTAACTAAACTTGAAAATTAAAGCCAAGGGGATATTAAAGATCTTTGAACATTGGAACTAAAAACTATTTTTTTTTTTTTTGCTATAAGTGGGAAGAGAGAGGTAAAGAACTTATATTACGATTTTACTGAAGAAGACTGCTTGAGTTTATAAGACTAGAAATAAACGGCAATAAGACTTCTAAAAAATCATTTTGGATCTGTGTAATTGAATGTTACCCCAGGAAGAGAAAATATAAAAAGAAGAAAGTGCTAAATGAAACAGTTTGTTCTGATTTAGATTGCTTTGTGACTTTGGGACTTTTGGAAACTATTCCTTGAAAAACTAAAAACATTTGGCTTGTTTTTTTTAAAAAAAAAATCTTTATAATGGCATTATCTGTTGAAGAATTGCAAATGGAATTCCAAAAGTTAAAAGAAGAGGAACAAGAAGGCATATGTTAGCAGCTGCTATTCAGAAAGGACAGCGACCAAATGGTAACTGTTTTAAGTGTAAGAAGCCTGGCCACTTTCAGAAGGACTGTCATTCTACACCTTCTATGCCTCAGAATCGTCCTTCTAAGAAGTGCCCTATTTGTAAAAAGGGATTTCATTGGGCCAATCAATGTCAGTTTCAGTCGGGAAACTTGCCAATGGGTGTGGTACCCACCCAGAATCCAAAGCGTGCCTTTCCCATCACTCTGACTCCTCCAGCAGTCTCTCTCACTCTCCCCAAGCCACAGCTTGTAGTGCTGGGATTGATTTAATCACTCAAGAGGAAATTGAGTTTAAATTTCCCTTGGAAATTAAAATAGTTCCATCTCAATTTAAAGGACCTCTTCCTTCAGGATTAGTTGGCTTAATTTTGCCTCATTCTTCTGCACACAAAAAGGGCTGTTTTGTTGTGCCTGGGGTAATAGATTCAGATTACACTGGTATCCTCTTGATTCAGATTTGGGTGAATCTTCCTCAAGTTGTTCCTTGTAATTCTTCTGTTGTTCAATTGTTTCTTCTTCTATATGAAAATCCATCTCCTGGTATAGGTAATCATGTGGATGCAGGATTTGGATCAACTTCTTTATCTGTAGGTGTACTTCATCAGCTGAACTCCTCTCTCTTCCTAAATAAACAACCATTTCAAGGGTTATTGGATACTGGAGCTGATGTTACTGTCATCTCTTCTTTACAGTGGCCAGTACAGTGGCCAAAAACAACAGTTTCTTCATTGTGGGGAATAGGAGGTTCTACAGCTGCTTGGCAGAGTGTTCAAGAAATTAATGCTACAACATCTGCTGGTAAGTCCTTTTTCCTACAACCATACATTCTAGTTATTCATACTAATATTTGGGGCCGTGATATCCTTTCTCTTCTTAATGCCCATTTGATTCTTGATGATGGCTCTTCTGCTTAAATGGCTCTGTTCTACGCTGGTTTGGGTGGAACAATGGCCATTATCAAGGGAAAAACTCGCTGCTTTACAACAATTGGTTCAAGAACAATTGGCTGCTGGTCATATAGAACCTTCTACTAGTCCTTGGAATACTCCTGTTTTTGTTATAAAAAAGAAAAATGGGAAATAGCATTTCCTTCATGATTTAAGAGAAATTAATAAATGTACCCAACCCATGGGTCCTTTACAATGTGGTCTACCAAATCCTAACTTAATTTCTAATTTTTATAAATTATTGGTAGTTGATCTTAAAGACTGCTTTTTTACTATACCTTTGCAGCCTCAAGACAAAGAAAAATTTGCATTTACTGTCCCAATTTTTAATAATAGCATGCCCACAAAACAATATCATTGGCGAGTGTTGCCTCAGGGAATGCTTATTTCCCCTACACTTTGTCAATATTTTGTGGATAATGCCCTTCAACCCTTTTGGAATAAATTTCCTTCCTATTTAGTCTATCATTATATGGATGATATATTGATAACAGCCCCGGATTTTGATGAATCTAAGTTGTTAAAAGAGTTAACGGATATTGTGGAACAACAGGGATTGTATATAGCCTCAGACAAAATTCAAAAGGTAGAACCTTATACCTACTTAGGATATAGAATGTTGCACAATTCCTCCATTCCAATTCTTCCTGAACTACAAGTACAGAAATCATATACATTAGCACAATGGCAAAAATTACTTGGCATTATTAATTGGGCATGCCCATTCTTCTACATTAAAACTGACAATTACCCCCCTTATATTAGTAAGGAATTTCAAACCTTTTTCAGAAATGGAATATTACTTTAGTGCACAGAATTCCTTACAACTCTCAGGGTCAAGCTATAGTTGAGCGAGCTTATCGTATTTTTAAGGCATTGCTTCAGAAACAATTACAAACTGAGTTTGGCCCTTACCATCTGCGAAAGATTCAAAATCTCATTGCTGTAGCATTATATACTTGGAATTATTTAACCTTTTTAGATTCTCTTGCAGACTCACCTGTTAATTTGCATTTTTGAACTACTGAATCTTTAGCAAGGCCTTTGGTAAAGTATCGCCAAGCTCCAGATCCAACCTGGAAAGGCCCTATACCGCTGATCACCTGGGGTCGTGGTTACACCGCCGTGGAAGATCCTTCTACTCAACAAGCAGTGTGGGTTCCAGAGTGCTGTGTTCGTCCATATCATGGCATGGCATCAGGGCCTTCACAACCCAATTCCGGATTTCAATCTTCATCTGAATACAGAAGTCCGTCTTCCAAGGTCGACGCGCCTGCAACCCATCACTTGGGCCAGGTTAAATCTACTACATATCAAGCTCAACAACAACTGCAACAGGCCTCATTACCTCAGACTCCTGAAAATGTTGTTGCTGCTGTTTTTGCTATTATTACTGCTAACTCTGTTACCATTTTACTTTGTATTTTCTTGTTTATGGTTAATGGTGTTTCTGCTCAAAATGACACTTCTGTGGTTCGTCTTAACCCTAATTTGTGGCTTTGTACTATGAGCCCCCAATGGCATTTGGTCAAATTTCTTTTACCCCTAATTTAACCATGTCATCTACATTTATTGTCTCACAACTACAATCTATTTCACACTCCTGGCTATTTTCTACATCCCCTATGCAATTGAATTCTGTCTGTTGGCGTTACTTGAAAGTTAGTCAATTTACAAGGGGTCTGTGTTTCTGTTGTCATGCTAAGCACACTTGGCTTCATAATTGGTCTGATTATGATGCTGCTCAGCACATGTTTAAAAAGCTAGGGAATTATAGTTATTGTTCTGACTACTATTGGTTGTCAGGTACCTTTAATTCTTCTTTACATGGAATTAATATAGCTCCTGATATGTATTCTGACAATTTTCCTATTTTTAATGCCTCTGATCAATCTAACACAGGATCGATATGTGCTGGTTGGCAGCTTAAGGATCCTAATATGTGGTTCTTTTTTTGATAAATATGCTACTAATGTTCATCCTCAGAATTATCAATGTGCAACTATAGGTTATTTTACTCTACCTGTTCAAATAGGTAAGCTCCCATCAACTCGACAGCAGCGTTCCTCTCTGGGGCCTACATGTAATGATGAAGTTATTATTGACACACAATTGTCTTCTGGTTCTACATTTGGCCGTGAATTGGCAGGGGCCATTACAGGAGTCCTTACTCTAGGCTCTTATCCTGGCATAATTGCTCAAGAAAACAGACAATCTATTCTTGGTCTCACCTGCAGACTTGAAAAATCCACCAGTGCTACTGCTGCTATTATTTGTG